TTGAAAGAGTGGGGAGGGGGGGTTGTGAGGGTAGCCACTGGAAGTCTGAGGAAGAATGAAAAGGTTTGGAAAAGCTGCTGTGCTGAATGGGGTAAGTAAATCAACTAGGTAGGTCTAAAAGGAATGCTTTGCCACAGTGAGGGTATAGTTGAGATTATGTAACAGACATCTGTAGTAGGCCCAGTGAGTACAGTCTTGTGATTTTCTCCAACTTTGTTGCACAGTATGTTAAGTAGGAAGAAAGGCAGCAGTTGATGTGAGTAATTTAAGGCTTGGCAGGGCAACATCTTCAACAGAATAAATGAGGAAGGGAATCAAGAGAAGAGGATAATGTCGAGCTGAAATGGTTCACCACGGGGCCAAGATAGAGAAGGGAGAAAAGAGGGTAGGCAGTGTATGGGGTGATGGCCTGGTAAAGAATTGAGGGTAGAGCGACTAGAGGTTACAATAAAGATGAAGAACAGGTTGGGGGAAGGGTCAAGAGACTGAGAAATGTGGAATCACAATAGATTGACCAGATAAAAGCAACTTCACAGTTCATGAACATAGGAGTAAACTGTAGTGGAAAGCATGCTCAATGACAGTCAAAAGTATGATGATAACATGACAAATGTGAAAATATGTTTAATAGGAATATATATGTAGAGCCTATATCAGATTGCATGCCATCTTGGGGAGGAAGGAAGGGAGGCAGGGGGAGAAAATTCAAAATTCAAAAGCTTATGGAAGTGAATGTTAAAAACTAAAATTAAATTAATTATTTAAAAAAGGCATGATGATATAGCAGTCACAAAACCAAATCTGGTTTTATTTTGTATTGAAGGCATAATGTACAGAATGACAGAGGCGACAGTTTCAGTATATTCTTTTCTGGTCAACATCTTGTATTCATATTTATTCATTCCATATTGTAGAAAACATATTGACAAACTAACATAGATTATCCAAAATGAAGAATTGCCTTTCTTGAGATCACACTACACAAGGATCAGTTGAAGAAACTGGGAATATTTCAGAGAAGAAAAGAGCATGATAGTCTTCAAGGATCTGAAAAGCTACAACATGGAAGTGAAATTAGATTTGTTCTATTTGGTCCTAGAGATCAAAACTAGAAGTAAATGGTACAAGTTGTACAGATTTTAGCTTAACCTAATGAAAAATTCCTATAACCAAGAGTGGAATAATTTGCCTCAGAAAGTAGTGAGACTGCCTCTCATTAGGAGGTCTTTCAAATACAGGCTGGATTACCAGTTCTGGTTATGAATGTTGTAGAGGGTATTACCAGCCAGGTAGGAGTTGGATTAGATGATTTGAGGTGTCTTCTAACTCATGAAGTTCTGTGATTACATGACATTTTAAAAAGGAAAATTCTGATGCAGTAGAAACTTTCTAATAATTAGAAAGGAACGGACTCTCATAAACTAGTAAGTTCCCTATCATTTGAGGTATTCAAGCAAACTTTACTAAACCATTTATGAGGAATGTTGTAGAAACAATTCCTATATCAGATCAGAGTAAATTCATCTCGATTCCTCCAAATGCTCTAAAATCCTATGATTTTACCTTTTTAGTATTTTCACATTATTCTTCTTCCCATATTCACACCTCCTGCCAAACTGGCTTACTCACATGTCCCATGATTTCTGCCTCCCTCTTATTTCCATGCACTTTGATCCTAGAAGACAAAACTACATTGAAATTACAGGGAGAAGGATTTAACTTAACATAAGGAAAATCTTACTAACACTAGAGCTATCCAAACATGGAATAGGCTTCCTTAAGTGACAGAAAGCTAGCTCCTACACCAGATGATCACTTTTCAGGGACAGTGGTCGAGATTCATAACTTCAGGTGGACACTGAATTACAAAGTCTCTATATCCTCTTCTCATTCCAATATTAACTCTCTGTCCATATCGCTCCATATTTCCAGAGTCTTTATCTCCTGTTTTTGTCCAGTAAGGCTCTAAAACCTTCAAAGGGAGTTTATATGACATATTTGATCTTATCTGTTCACTTCTCTCCCCCAAGAAATAATTTCTCCCTCCTATTTTTTTTTTTTTTTTTACTGCTCACAGAAATTAGGGATAGGGATTGGACCTAGGATTTCATTGGTACAGGGAGTTCCCAGGAAACAACTCCCTCTACCAAGCAGGCTGGCACTGCTCTGAAACTTATAGTATTAGAGTTGCTTAGAAGAGCTAACATTTATTAGCACTTTAAGGTTTACTTTACAAATATGAACTCATTTTATCCTCACAACCCTGGGAAATAGGTACTGTTATCCTAATTATACAGTTGAGGAAACCAAGGCAGGCAGAGATAAAGTGACTTTTCCAGAGTCACATAGCCAATACGCCAGAGGTAAGATCTGAACCCAAGTCTTCCTGGTTTCAAGGGTAGCTCCAGCACTACACCCTGCCCCCCTCCCAGTCTCTATCGCATACAAATCAGAATATAATAACTCATGTACATAGGTATATTCTCCCTCACTAAATCTGAAACCCCTTGAGCACTTCCATATGTTGCAGAGATGTCACTTAGTCCTCAGCACTACAGCTTTTCAACTTCCTCACTTCTTCAAAAAAACTTTGCTCTCAGATGTTTTATTAGTAAGTATATAATGCTGCAGGTGGCATTTTAAAACTTAATACAGAACCAATGCTCTAATATCTAAAATGCCTACAGAACTGTAATGTCAAAATAAAAACTATTCCTATCCCAAATGTACTTTCTCAATTTCAAAACTGATAAAATTTCATTTACCATAGGCTTCATTTTGGAAGATGAATGAATTACCTTTTGATTTGTAACTTACCTAAATGTATTTCATAATCTTTAAACTCACTTATTTTTATTCTCCCAGTGCAGAACCCCTGGTTATAGAGTGACCTTTAAACAGTTGTCAGATATTTATTGGTAAAAGAACAAACTTAAGGACCAGACATGAGGTCACACTGCAATCTGACATCAATAAACCTAGCTGTTTAAAGAGAAGTGACAGAAGAATATTTTGAACCTTGGTAGAGAGCATGTTATTCCTTTGACAGAAAGTCTTTGGGAAGTGAAAATTATAACCCTTGCATTTGTAAACACATAGATTATCCTTGTAATAGTCAAGAATGTTCTTTAACCCCATCCTCTACGTCCATCCACCCAGCCCATCTTCAGCATTGTATGGTCTGCTGTTACATTCCCTTTCTGTAGTATTTGTAACTTTCTTGATATTCACAATGTACTTTTATGATTAGTAGGAAATCTTTAGCAGACACAAAAGATGAAAGATGAAACTGCAGCGAGAGCATGGCAAACCTGAAAGATCTATTAGTGCATAAATCTACTAAAATAAAATTAAAAAACAAAAAAACAAAAAAACAAAAAACAAGAGATAGAGAGAACTAACAAGCTACAATAAAAGTTATGTCTTTAAAGCAGTAGATTATAACAGGGTGGGAAATGTTTAATATGTGTCCTCCTGAAAAGTAGTTACTGTCTTTCACATTTAAAAAACCAGTTGGTATATTTTCACAGCATCTAGATTTATGGTAAAAAGCCATAGAAATAGAATATTATTATTCCTTTCCCACCCTGGCAGAGAATAAACATGAATTCAGAAGCACAGTAGAGTGAAAACAAAGAAGAGAAAAGAGAAAAGGCAGCAGAGAAAGACAGAAAAGGTGAATACAGAGCTACAGAAGTGTTTATTGAGCATGCTACAGAGGTAAGCAGAGTACACATAAAGTGAAATTAAACGACCGTCAAACCTCCCAACTTTGTTAGAAAATTAATTTTTAATTGTGCCGCTTCCAAACTATACTGAATTTTACATTTCTAAAGATGTAAAAACCCAACTAATAGAAAATATACATGACCATTTTGTCTACATAGATAACAGAATCTATGAATCTTGAAACTAAGTACATCAATTTCAAAAAGTATTGGTCATTTAAACAGAATCAACAATTCAGATTGACAAGAATTGTTCAAATTAATTTGACCTGTAGATTCTGAGCCATGTTTATAGTAAAGTCAGATCTATTCCTAAATACAAAATAGTTTGAAGATTTATTAAAACTGAATATTACAATGCAAGGTAAATTAAGACTAAAGGCACATAAACTTTGGTCCCACCTGGTTGTCAGTTTTAGAAAACTGCCACAAAATTAATCTTCCTGCAAATTTTCGCAGTACACTTTCTTTATCTTTGAAAAATACATGCACCAGTTCCTGAACTAGCTAGACCAGTCTGCACATGCTCAGAAATCCACAACCATATTCCAAACCTTAATTACAAACTAAAGATGGCAATATATATTTAAATGCACATAAGTCATGTCAACTTCAAAAACATCTACGAAAAATATTCAGCCACAAACAAGACATTACTTAGTGCTGACATTTATATGATACGTCCCACAAGAGTGTGTACAAAAAGGTTAAGATTCCACAATGCTTTCCACATGGGGCTCAAACTTACAGAAATCACTTTTGTTGTCTTAAGAAATTAATACTCTGCACCCTTGTTAATTTTAACTAATGCCTACATTCATAACTGAATCTAGACCAGAATCATGAGATACAGAAGGCCAATGTACCTTAAAGGAAGAAAGCCTAAGGCAGTAGAAATAAAAAAATAAAATAAAATAAAATGCAGTGTTTTATTCTTTCAATGCTATGTATCTCATCTGATTAAATAGAAAGAAATGCGATAAGCCAATAATAAAAAATAAGTTCCAAGCAGGAGAAACAAAAACTTAACCTTTTTACACACCCCTGCCTAAACATATTTTAATTCCCATGTAACAATGTGCCCTAGACAACCAATTCCTTTTTCTAGTAAATGCATTCTAGCAATACTAGTTTTCCTTTTTAAGGCACGTATGTCAACTAAGTTGGAAAAAAAAAACAAACCAAAAGGTGGGATATAACTGAAAACTTTTCAACAGACAATAAAATGGATTCCCTATACAACAGATGAAAAAAAAAAGCAGTTAATACCTCTGCCTTTTAACATATGCATTTCATTTTATTATAACCAAGGAATGATAACAGCATGAAAAAAACCCAAAAGTCAAACTCTGGTCCCCACTTTTCTGAACAGTCAACAGGTGATGACACTGACAATGTGATTCACCCTAAATCTTTATCTCTTTTTTAAATTGTTGATTTGGAGAAGGAAACTCTCAGATGGTGATTTTCTCCAAGGTTATAATTATGAAGGTCAATCAGTGCCTGGATAGCCTCTTCCACTGTTGCCATTTGAAGAAGCGCCATCTTGTGATCTCTTCTGAAACAAAATTAGCAAGTTAAAAATGTGACAAATACTAGAGAACCTAAATATTTGATTGGGTATGTGTATGTGGGGGAGGGAAGGATAGGGAGAAAAACTAAAAATATAAATCTCTTTAAGGAGAAACAATAGAAATTACCTAGAATAAACATGTATTTCTATAATATATTTTTTTAAAAATTTAAAAACAAGGAAGCTTGCTTACTGAAAAAATTTAAATGCTTTCACAGTGCCCCCAGTGTTAGCAAAAAGTGTACGTAGATCTTCTTCCGCTACTGACGGACTAGAAAGAGTGGAGAGAAAAAGAGGAAGGGTTAATAACTTCTACTTTATGGCATAAATGCACATGCCCTTCACATTTTCCTACTGAAATACTTACGGAATATTGGAAAGGTGAAGAGTGGCTGATGGAGGAAATATATTCTGAAAATTTTTAGAACCAGGCTTCTTAAAGCGATGTAATGGGGAATTACCAAAATCTTTAGTTAGGCCTTGGTCATCAAGTCCCTCTCGAGGTAGTTGTACAGTTTGATGCTTGGAGAGAGTAACCCGAATAATCTTCCCATACATTTTTTGTCCATTCAGATGGTTCATTGCTAAGGAAAGAAGGCATATTTTAAAATACATACCAAAACAAATATAATGATGTGCCAAAGGGTAAATTAAACAGTTAGTATATTTATTTGAAATTCATTATTAAAAAAAAACCACAAAACAAATTAAGCTTCACATAAAAAATAACAAGATAAATTTACTTTATACTAATCTAAAGATTTACCAGATTTTTTTTAGGTTATAGTAAACCATAATAATATTATCATCTACTAAAAATTCTACAATTCAATATATTGTAATGAACTCTTGAGGTAAATAGAAGGAACCACTAGTAGTTTAGCATTCTTTCTGAAATAATGAATTAGAATAAATATCAATGCAGAATACTGAATTGAGTTCAAAATACAGCTATTTGTACAAATATTTCCATTTTTTATTCTACACATACATGTGAAATGGACAATCTATTTTTTAAAAAAGAGTTAATTATTCCTCAAATCTTTCCATCATCCATACTCATGACTCTTAAATAGTAGTAAATATTTCCTGATCTGTCACATACTGGAACCATATTAAAGTTTTAAATTAAGTAGTTAAGAATATAATTAGTTATTGATACAAAGGTAAACGGCAGTGTCAGGATACAATAGGGAGAACGCTAGGTCATCAACCAGAAAACCTAAGGTTTTAATCTTATTCCTTTATTCCTACTCAGTCATGTCACTTTAGGTGAATTATAAATAGATCCCCAGTTTTCAGATATGGTGAAACCTTGGGCTTTTGAAAATTATGACAAGTACAGTGACAGCACAAGCTACCAAGCCAGAAATGCTTTGGAGACAATGTCCAGTGACAGATTACACATCTCCTCAAAGTTCAAAAAGACTCGCAGTACCAACTGACCACCATGTGATGATTTTTCCCCCAATCACAACAGCTCACAAAGACTTAACTACTAAAGTGTACAGAGGAACTTGCAATTTAGATTGATAAAGTGAGTTCTCACGCCAAAGAAACCATGGTTCCTTGAAATAAGAAGTTCATCAGTGTTTGTGTGTGTGTGTGTGTGTGTGTGTGTGTGTATTCTATCTTCAGTATTGTGGGAGAGAAAGAAAAGACATTCGATAATGCACTGTACTCTCAAAATCTAATTGGGTTTACTAACTAGTTTGCATAAATTTTCTTACCTGCCTACTACACAAGGTTGATGCGAAGATTAAATGAGGTTATGGGTGAACATGCTTTGCAACAGTATAGTGTCATAGAAATATAAAGTATTATTTTCTGAAAACACAGAGGAAACTAAGTTCTTTGGTCATATATAGCTATTATGATTTGCAAAAACAAATATGCCTTTTTTACTTCCATTTTTAAGGTCTACAGCATCTGTATATCATTCTTAGATTTTTAACTGTGCCCAGATGTAAAAGTTCTCCCCTTAAGGTGTAGAACATTCTACAATAACTTGTACCTGAATAAACTCAATCATGAAATCCTATAATGCATTCTATTTAAGAGTACAGAAAACACTCAATTTCCATTATAATTAGGATAAAATCCTTTTATTAAAGAGTGTTATAATCTCAAACCATGAATTATTCAATATTCTAGGTAAATAGTTCTATTTAACTGGAATAAATAAAGTATACATATTTCAAAGCATTTGTGTTCAAGGAAGAATATAGACAAAAAGGAAAATGGCAAAAGTAAGGGATAACAGGGGCTTGGATGCTTCAATGGTATCCTCCACATTGCAAGAGAAAGTAAGGGAGAACTTCAATATGTTTAACTAACCCTCTGAAATGAACTTATGGAAGGTCATGGACAAGAGACATAAGATGGGCAGATATGGTTGGGCTGCAATCTGTATCACAGAGGAAAACATCAAAACTGATGAGATCACATATCCATTTAAGTATAGTTTTATTAGTTTAAAATACTGGACATAAAGCTTGAGAAACAACACTATAAGGGTTGAGTTTTAGAAAGAAAGTTAAGGAAAGAAGAAGGACCCTTCTTTACAATGTAGCCACTAAACTGGGGATGAAGAAATAAAATCTAAGAGCTCCAAGAACAAAAAGGTTATGGGATAATGAATAGAAATAGCAAGAAAAAACTGAGAGCAGGAGGGAAATTGAGCACAAAACACATATACACATAAAATGACTGATCATAGTCTTATTCATTTGATGGATTACTATTAGTTTAAGTTTTACTTCCTTCTGTTTCCTCTGCATATCTTCTAGTAGAAGTATGTTCAATGAAAAGAACAGAGAGACAGCAGAAAAGATAAAAATTAAGCCTAGATAATATGAAATTAAATAATCACATCCCAAATAAGCAAGAGTAGCCTGTACTTTTAAAGATTAAACAAACAGGCATAACTTTTTTTAATGAATGCTACATAGATTTTGTTTACAATCACACAAAATAAAATATTTCTAGGAAATACAGTCTATATTCCTTTTAAACATAATTCAGTAACTCAAGATGTACAAGTTGGTACACTCATGATCTTTCTGTATATAGCCAAGCTGTTTTTTTTAAAGAGATTCCAACTTTATAAGTAAATGAAAACAGCGAAGATATTTTTGCAAATAGCTCACCAAAATATGAAAAGTAAAAGCTTTTTTAAAAATAAAAGTAACAACTGACTGTGGTGGCAAGACAACCTTTGGGATACCTTTCAGCACCCAAACAATGCAACATTTGGAAAAAGCAGAACAAATAACTCATCCAAATATGAAAAGTAAAAGCTTTTTTTTTTTTAAAGTAAAGGTAACAATTAACTTACTGTGGTGGTAATACAACTTTTCTGGTACTTTTCAGCACCCAAATAATGTGACATTTGGGAAAAGCAGAACAACTGTTGCTGAAGAACTTTTTTTGTCCAGTATTATTCAATAAAAAAAGGGGGGGGGGTATCTGGAAAAATTAGTGTCTACATAACATTTTTCTAAGGGTATGCAATTAGTTTAAAAAAATTGGTCAGTATATTTTATATAGTTTCTAAAATATACATTAATCCTCTTCATATGATATAATGAAGATACTTATAAAATACTCAGCACAGTGCCTGGCACATAGCAGGCACTTAATAAATGTTTCTTTCTTTCTTTTCCCCTCTAAATACTGTCAACTGCTCCTTCCTTCACTATTTTCATTGACATTCATTGTTCTTACATTACTAAAGTAGCACAACAAAGCATCTGCCTACAGGAAATCCACTGGATTCTCCTATGAACACAGATTCCAAGATTAAAACCAAGCAGAAGGAGAACAGAAAGCTGTATTTTAGGCAACATAGCAGATTCTAAAAGACAACAGTCTCAATCTCCTGTGCCTAAGCTCCCAGGTACTGGGGATGAATGAGTATTTTCAAAGATGTATTCATAAGAATTCTTTTAAATTATTATTACATAATTTACCACAGCATCAATGAGGGAGATGAACAGACTTTAAGGAAATTCTAAATTCTTTCTCATCGCATAGTCAGAAGACTAATAATTCATGCTAGGTAATTTAAAGCTAATGGGAAGAGAGAGAAAATGAGGGTAGTAAAGGATTTCATAGTACACAGTTTGTGATATTAGGTGTAATGCAGGAAATACTTATTTCAAACAATAGGGATTAAGATTAAATTGTGTTTTCCAATGTATAAGAAACTCCATGTGAACAAACTCCTCTTGCTAATGGAGATCAACACTTGCTCTGCAATCTTTTATTCTTTAGAGTCATGTGAGACACTGAGGTTAGTGACTTACTCAGGGTCACTTACGTGTCCTGTACATGTGAGAAGCAGGACTTGAATCATGGTCTTCCTAGCTTTTAGACAATCTCCTTATACACCATACAATACTGTCTCCTATTTCAAGCAATCTGACATTAGAAACTTTCATTATGATGAATTCTCTCCAAATGACATATGGAGGCTTAGTAAATATAGTAGTCTTAGTGCTGTTTTAAAAAGCTACAAAACAGACACATAACACTCACTAGCTGTGTGACTCTGAGCAACTGCTTCAAAAAAAAAAAAAGCTACAAAAGCTTAAAACTGCATTAATGCTTTTGGGATACCCTTTAAACTCATACTAAATAAATCATGATGTACAAAACAAACTAGAGCTAACAAACTCTAGTTCCAAGAGCTCACTCAAGGCCAGTCACACTGAGGGAGGCAAAGGGAGTGCTTCTACCCTGATATTGAGAATCAACATTCCTTCTTATAATAAAGCTTTTCTTCAATAATTTCTAAACTGCAAAATTTCAGAATTGGGACACTAGAGGCCCCTAAAAAAGATTATCTGCAAAGCACTTAGTCCAGTGCCTGACACATAGTAGGTTCTTGATAAATGCCTGTTCCCTTTCCCCCTTCCCATCTAGTCCAACACATAACCTGAATAATCCTATCCTTTATTACATACCTGATACATGATTATCCAGTCTCTGCTTGAAAAGCCCTTGGGAGGGAAACTCATGTCCTCCCCAAGGCAACCCATTCCACTTTTAAATAGTTCTATTATTAAATTTTTTCCTGACATCATGCCTAAATTTATTTCTTTGCAACTTCCACCTATCTTTCCTCTTGGTTCTTTAGAACCAACCAGAAAAAGCCTAATCTTTCTTTGAAGACAGCAGTCATTACCCCACCCCTTCCCCCTTCTTCCCAGGTCTCTCTTTGAGGAAGATACATGAAGAAGGGTGACAGTTCAAGGCTTCTTCTTTTCTTCTGAATTAGACACCTGACTGTGAGGCAACAGAGAGAAATCAGGTGGGAGAAATATAAATTAAATCTAAAGAGCAGCTTACTGTTGGCATGGGAATAATGAAGAGAGTACCTAAAGGGGAAGCAAGTCAGGAACGGGGAGGGTTTAGTTTAGCTTTTGTAGATGGAAAGCAAAAATAAGAACCAGCTGAGTCTGCATCTATGCTAGGGACTGAGGCCATAATGATCCCTAAGGAGAGAATAAGTTAGTGTAAGGTTAATACTGAAAAGCAAAACAACTTTAAACATAAGGTGGTAAGACATCATGATGGGGTTGCCACAGTAATCACTTTTAAAAAAAATTGAAACTGCAATAATAAACAGGAATTATACTGGAGAATTAAATATACAGTGTAACATTAACCAAAGTAAATGTGACTGGAAATGACTGGATATGCTTCTTAAGTGAGATTTTCTTATTCACCTTGGCCAAAAAATTCATCTATAAAATAATTATAGTAGTCAATGGAAAATGACAATTACAAATATTTGCATTAAATACAACTATTCAGTATTTGATGTGCAAAGCTGGTAAAATTACATTTTATTTTCTTCCAGAGATTAAGAATGCAACCAAAATAATTTTAAAATGGACTAAAAAGGAATTAGTATAGTCTAAAAATCTGTAACTGAAGATTTAGAGCACAAACATGTAATCCAGTCTTACCAAGTTGTGATTGGTTTCCATCAGCCATCTGTATAAGTGCACTGTCTTTCTTATTGTATAAAATCTTCACACGTTGCACATCCCCATAAACACCTTTTTGAAGTCAGAGAGGTAATCCAAAAATGAAATTAATTTTAAGGGCAAGTCAACTAAGCAATATAATTCTGACATATCAATGAAACACTCAGACATCAACAAGATCACTCACTCAATCTTAACATTCATACCAATGAGTAAAGAAGATCAAGATTTTGAACAGTGAATTTTGAAAAGAATAAATTTGATAAACCCTCAAAGCTATGTGAATGATATTAAATTAAAGACCATGCAAAATAAATTAGCATGCATTAAAACAAATTTTGTGTCTATGGAGAGTTTTTAAACAGCAAAAGAAAAATAGCAAAAGATTTACTATTCAACTTTAAGCCAAAGTGCTAGCTACAAATAAGAATTAAGGTGAAACAAAAATCAAATCAATAATAAAAGTATAGTGCTAACAATAACATACCGAAGAGGGTAAACAGACTTTGGGGCGTAACCATCTTTAGAAGGAGAGAAGAGCAAGCAGCGTAAGACAAGAAGAGAGAAGAGTCGAGGAAGAGCGGAGATGAACAGATCATCCATAACGAAGGGTGGTTCCCGCAGAATGGTGAGGTGGTCATGGATCATGGTTCAAGGCGGTTAATTGGGGCAAGTTGGTCCGAGGAACATTTGTTCAAGCACAGAAGCATGAACATAGGGGAATGGAGACAGGGAATGAAGACAAGGACAAGGAAAATAAAGGATAAGACAGGGATGGGAATGGGCATTTGGGAAAAGACAAGGAAAGGGAAGGTGAACACATAGGGAAAAGGATGAAATGGGGAAGGGAAACAGCAATGCAGAAGAAAAATAAGGAATTGGGGAACAAAAAAAATAAAATATAGGTCAGTACATAGGAAATGCAGGAATTTGGTCAGAAAATGGTTGGTTTATGTACTGTACAAGAAAAACTGAGTAAAATGTAGTCACCCAAGACAAATATGGGTAAAGTACATCCATATCAAAGAGTAAATTACAGCATTTCATCTCAACATGGGAGGAGGGAGGAGAAAGCATGCAATAGGAATTTTAAACTTTGAACTTCAACTGCATAAGCATGGCTGGTTATGAAATGCAGGCAAAAGTTTTTTTTAAAAGAAAAAGGCACTCTGATTCAAACACTTTAGCATGCAAAACTGTGGATGACAAAATAGTATCAAATGATAAAATAAGCTTAATGTTCACATTAACAGAGGCCAATTGAAATGAAACAAATGTTCAAACTAGACATCATAAATTGATACATCAAGCTTCCCACATTTCATACCAGCTTTCACAGCAATCAAAATAAAATATACAAGACATAAAAATGTAGAACTAAAGGAAAAAACCCCTTAGATTTCAGATTTAACAAGAAAGAAAAAATACTAAAGGTGAAGAGTTTTTTTAAAAGAAGACAATGACTAAAAACTGCAAAGAAAAAATTACTAAGAAAGACTGGAAGAGTGCCTCGTCAAGATCTTTGGGAGAACCTTCAAAGAAAAATGTATTAGAGTAGTTCACATAAAATAAGATTTTAAAAATGCAATGACATGTAAGCATGAAATGAACAAGCAAATTATCAGAAAAGACGAGCAAAACTGTTTTAGAGTTAAATCTGCAAATTAGATCGCATTGGCCTTTGAAAACATAAAATGTAAAATAAAAAAGCCAAACAATAGCATGTAACCATATTTTTCTTAGGAAAAATAGGCAGCCATATATAAAGAAATATATAAATGACTGTCTAGGAAAATAAAGTATTTTCTTAAGTACTTTAATTTTATTCAGAAGTAGACAAACAGAAAATACTTTGACTAACATACATATAAGGAAAAATGTAGAAAAAAAAGAAAAAATGATAAACTTTCACAAATGAAATGGAGTTAAAAGAATGAAAGCCAGTAAAAGGTTTCACTAACCTCTTCATTTAAATTGCTAACCAACAGGACTGTGTTGCCACCAGCTGAGACTCCAGGCATACCCACTCGGCCAGCAGCAGCTGCAGCAGCTGCCGCAGCAGCATTTGGAATAGCCAAAGGACTCAGAGCTCCTGGAACAGCTGCAACAGGAAGCCCTAATTTTAAAATAAAGCGTATTTTACGAAACACACACAAGTCTTTTACAAAAAACTACTTAAGCATGATGGCTGCGTGGCTTACAGCTGACCACGCCAGTGCGTGATATTTTCTCATGCTTAAATGAAACCGACTGGGGATAAATGAAGAAGCTTTTGTTTATGCTGGTTCAAGCATGTACCTAAATCTTCTGGTAAAAAATTAAGTACAACCTTTCAAATTCACAAGCAATCTACTTTATACACAAAAAAAAATCATACTGAATATTATTTCTAAGCAGAAAATTATCTTAAGAAAACCTTGCAAAAATTCATTGGGCTTTTTTTTTGTGTGTGTATTAATTAAGAAAGGTCTTAGTAACTAACAGTGGTGGCAACTTTCTTCTTGCCATCTTTCCCTCAAATTCACATTTGGAATGAGGTAGCTAATTAGGATGTAGGAAACAAACACAGTCTTTTCATTTTGTAGATCAATACAGATCACCCTTAGTATCATATTTTTAATTCATCAAAATGACTTGAAGTGAATCTTATGAAGATCACTTTGCCTTGTTAATTACACACTGAATTCAAAGCACTAAAATGAATATAAGTTCTAGTAAACATTACACCCTCTCACTCTAGAGAACAAAAAGACTAGGGATTTCTAATATCGCATTTTCTCCAAGTTCAATTCTTTATTCTTTCAGTCAGTCAACAGGCATTTATTAAGTAGCTTCTATTCCAGGCACTGTGCTGAGTACTTTGAATGTTCCCCTATTCTTTCCTAATTAGTTTTTCTAGTACTTTCTCATCGATTTGTTTCATCACCATGCACTGACCTTTGCTTGTTGTTAAAATTTTTTCCTCTTACCAAAGTCATTTCATGGATATATCAATTCCATATTATGGAATTTCTTCCTCCTATCATAAACTTTTCATTTTCTAATTAATTCAGAACCCTTTCAATTCTATTTATCAACTAATTCTCTCAAACCCAGCCTCTCAAGTTAATTTAACATTCCATATGGAGAGGGGAAGTAGGACATGTATCTTTCCTATACGATGGAAATGACATAGCATAGAAGAGTTGGCCCACTGGGATGTCTCCCATTTCATTTATTCATTTTTTGCCTGTAACCTCTTTGGGCATGCCATTTAGACATGCTACTTTTACTTTAGATTATCTGATTTTCTAATCTTTTACAGTTAGTTTTCTGACATTCTCATGTCACAGAAATTATAACTGGCCTTCTGGTGCAGTTATGGGAGTACTAAAAGTGCTTTTCCCTACTCTCATTTTTCTTTAACCTCTCTGCTGTCTCTGACTTACTAAAACACTTTGTCTTAAAAAGGGACCTCTCTTTCTTTGTATTATTCTTCAATACTTCTTTTAGACAGTTTTGTTTGAATGGTCAAAGTACTTCATTAAAGTTGCATAGGATGGACATACATTCAATACTTCTATAAAATTCTAGATTCATTTACTGATGTCAAAAATAGTTTCTAATTCCCTGGTCTTCTCACTCCTGTCTGTATTCCAACAAAGGGGATAATATGATAACCTATTAAATGCCTAACTGATTTATGGCATTCAGCAACTAGTTAACAAGAGCATGCCTCCAAAACATTTAAAGTATGCATTAATTCAGAAACAGCAAGGATATATTGGAAAAAACCCAGAAAAGGAACTGGTCCAAACCCTGGTTCAGCTCCTTCTGGTATGATCTTGGACAAGTGATTTTATCCCTCTGGACGTGAATTTTGTCACCTGTAAACTGTGTAGCAGAATGAGCTACAACATCTCCATTGTCTGCCCCAGTTCTAACTCTATGATCTACATGAAAGGAAGCACTTCAGGATGACATGGCAATTTAATCTTGAAAAGAAAGGCATATCCTTTTGTGAAGTTCTACTAAGGAGTTTAACCAACTAGTCCATTAGCCATATAGAAAAGGGTGATAAGCTCCTTTTACTTTTTGTTTTCATTTTAACTTACTAATTCAGTATAAAACGTTAAAGATTCTAATATAGTCACTTATGTTATCAAAATTAAAAACCAAAGCTGGTCTTGCCTAAATTGCAGAAGATACCAAAGAATAGGATCACAGACCTTAGAAGTCAGTAAGTCCAACTCCCTCATTTTAGAGATAAGGAAACTGAGGCACAGAAAAGTAAAGGCACTTGCCAAGGGTCTGACAACTAGTCGGTGTTGGAGGCAGGATTGAGCCTAGGTTTTCTTGGCTGCAAGTACAGTGCCCTATTCACTATCATACCATTTCTCAAACTAATAAAAATGATGGCAAATAAAATATTATGGAAATGTTTGCACAATGTTACATACTCAAAATCCTTTAATGCTTCCATTATTCAACAGATTTATGATTTCATCTATGTAGGTATTCCCTCTATTAGTACAGATCATAAAGGATGAGAAAATGATAAAGAGTTGTGAATGTGCACACATCCCATATGTATGATATGAAAAACACATTTTTAAAAAGCCCAGAAAAAATTCTATTTCATTCATAAACTTTCTCTACCTCTAACATATAGCACTGGTTTGGAATCCATACATAAAAATAACTGAAGTTAATTTAGACATACCAAATCTAAGCATGACATCCAGTAAGTGCTAATATTCTATATTTTTAGAAAAAAAAATCTGTCCAGAAACATCAAAGTTCCAACATGCCACTGTATGTTTTAAATGATTAACTATAACAATCTAATGAAATACTTAAAGAAAAGAAGCTTCAAAAGTAACAGAAAATGTGTTCAACACAATTACATAAAGGATTTAAGATGGCTGTACTCAGGAGCTTAAAAAATATTTGTAGAATTTGAAAGATAAAACTTCTTTTAAATTCAATTTTCTTTCTGAAATCTGGTTTTATAACTAGATTATCTAGCTAATTTACAACACAAAGATAGAATGAAGTTTGGAGCTGTAAAAGAAATAACCTCCATAAACATTTTAATACACAGAAAATATCTAAATTTAGAAGTTATAAATTATATTTACTCCAGTAAATTCATGAGAATTTTTTAAAATTCTATTGACTATACTACATTTTTATAAATGATCCACTGAGCTAGAGTAGAAATAAGACTACAACTTTTCTACTGGTTAAAAATAATGGAGTAATAAACATTTAATATTTATCTATATCAGAGCATAGCTGAGGCTGGCAGTTACCAGCATGCTTATCAAAGAGTGACATATCAGGCCATCCAGTCCAGCACATCAGCCTTTGACTGCTGCCTTCACTATCTACAATATCTCCAATTATTCTTCCTTATTTTCCATCACCACTCTGGGACAATCTGTTCAAATGTATCCAGATAGTCTAGACTTCTTCCCCAACTGTTTCTCCTTAGGCATCACGGGCAGAATTTAAATGATAAGAGGGAGTCATTGTACCAATATGTACATCCCACTCTTCTTCAAATATGATAACTTAGAAAGGTTGGTAAAGTACTAGAGATGTATAAACTTTTTATTGAATTGTTAAAAGAACCTAGAAGACAGGGAAGTTTTCCTTATGTCTAATCTAAAATCTCTAACACAGAAGGTTATGCAGTATTTCACTACCACAAAAACCTTTCTATTCCATTGGAAATTACTATTCTCAACTTCAATGGTCAACATTTTTTAGCAGGTATTTATGTTTTTGCATATAATTTTGGTCACAAAAAAAGAATCTTACATTGTAAGGAGGTTGTGACTTGATTTTATTCTCTTACTACTGGGAATTCAGGTTCCCATAGGTTATTCACCTAGATTAATATAGTCAGAATAGCTGGATGAAAGAAGGTGGCTGAATTGCTACTGCATTTATCTGTTTTTGGAGCTTCAAGGAGGACAGGTGGCAGGAGAAAAGGTGAGCTCTAAGTTCTACTACTGTCCAGAGATGAATCAATCAATCAATAAGCATTTATTAAGCACCCACATGAGCCAGGCACTGTGCTAAGTACTGGGGACACATAAAGATCCAAAAAATAGTCCCTGCTCTCAAGGAGCTCACAATGTAGGAGAAAACACAGAAACAAATATGTACAAATGAGCTACATACAGTAAAAATAGGAAATAACTAATAGAAGGCACTAGAATTAAGAGGGGTCAGGAAAGACTTGCTGTAAATACGGTATTTTAGTTGGGACTTAAAGGAAGCCATTTAGGCAGAGATGAGGAGGGAGAGCATTCCAAGCATGGGAACAGCTAGAGAAAATACACAGAGTTGAGAAATGGAATGTCTTTTTCACAAAATAACAAGGAGGCCAGTGTCACTGAATTGAAGAATATATGGTGTGGACTGATGTTTAAAGAAGCCTGAAGGAGGGCGGTGCCAAGATGGTGGAGTACAAGCAGCGCCTTGCTTGAGCTCTTCCCCAAACCCCTCCAAATACCTATAAAAAAATGGCTCTAAACAAATTCAACAGGCCTTGGCAACAGATTGGATATATGGTGGTGAGGTGGGGCAGAAGGGTGAGAGACCAGGATGACTCCTAGGTTGCCAACCTGACAGACTAAGAGGATGATGTTGCCTTTACAGTAATAGGGAAGGCAGGAAAAAACTGAAATCAAAAGTAACACAGTAAAGATAGATTCAGAAATCAAAAGACAACAGAAATGTGAAATCAGTACAGAAACAGACAAGTACAGAAGATAGTGGTCTAATGTTATGTTTTCACTCTGAAGCAATATATTTTGGTACCTACAACACAGGTCTGACTGACCATGTCACTCCCCTGCTCCCAACTGACTCAAAGATAAAATACAAACTCTTCTGTTTGGTGCTGCAAACCTGTCACAACATGGTTCCAGTCTATCTTTCCAGGCTCACTGCACATTGCTCTCCTTCACAGATTACATTCCAGCTAAATGAGTACTTCCTATTCTTCATACATGACATTACATATCCTTACATGCCTTTGCACAGGATGCTCCCTACACCTCTGTTCCTTAAATCCTAGCTACTTTTAAGGCTCAGCTAAAGTGCAATCTCTTATATGACATT